TCATTATAGTGGGTTTATCAATATTATGTTTTATTTATTAATAATCAATCAACCCTTTTTTTTCCATGAGTCCTGACATCACCACGTGTATATGGCATTAACACGTGCAAAATATCTGCCATTGACAACCCCTGGAATTTAACAACTTTGATTTTTTTTAAACATTGACTAAATTTCACCCAACCTTCTTGAATGGGGCATTGTGTAACTAAATCCAAACTTGGTCGAGTGCAACAATTAAATATTCACCTCGATATATTTTTTCGAAATCGTCCAAGTATCTATAGCATGTCCATTCTAGAGTTGTCCAAACAAATTAATTTTAATATTAAGCGCACGTTGCGGGTATTATTTATCAAGGTATATCTGTCATCACATTGATGGTTTTTATACATAACTATTTATTAAAATTTCAAGACAAATTCTTTCACTAGTATCGTCATAGTGAATCTCCAAACCAGTTAACAAAATAATATACCAATTAGTAAGTTTTATTATTTTTCAATAATAGAATCAGATAATAGTTATATAGGAAAATTATGTTAAAACCCCAATATGAATTAGCCCATGTGACCGGCCCCTATGTATTTTTGGGCCTTGTGTTTCAACCCTAATTAATGCTAGCAGTATTTGTGCCTATGCCCCAGTTAGATTAACAAGTAGTGTGAGAGAAAATCCACATAAAATTACTACTAAACCCTTATGACATGATATTACAATATTGGTAACCGTACCCACTCCCTTTCAAGTACTCTTTTCCTCTCTCTCCCTCTCTCTTCTACTGTTAATAGGAACCCAAAAAATCCCCCTTTCAAGTACTCTCTCCCTATCTCCCTCTCTTCTACTGTAAACAGGAACCCAAAAATCCCAGTTCTATTTCTTTCTCCCTCTCGAATTTTTAACTTAGGGTTATGGTTTGCTCGGTGAAAATGGCATCTAAGGAAGTATCTGATCACGATTTCTAAATCGTTCATTGCAATGGATGGCAAGGGCAAGACGACGACAGCCGTGAAATATGGTCTAAACACAAAACTAAAGCAAAATCTGCATCGTTGGTCGTACTTCATGAGCGATGTTGGTGAAGTCGATGATGGTCACATGACTTCCTCGATTAAAACACTATGCCACCAAGCAGGAATCCTCTTTGAATTATTGATCATATCATTAATCATCATAACATTATCCCAAACTGATTATCATTGGGAAGCCTATCTGAATACATGATGACGTCGATGCAACTATCTGTACATTTTGAGTTCAAAGTTGGGGTAATGCTGCACATTTTTAGAAAATATTCAGAATACAAAATCAACAACAAATAATAAAAACTAAACAAGTTAATGCTCACGCTCAACATCCTAACTACAAAAATTAACATTGAACCTATTAGAGTTAACAAACAAGACCTAACATTTAACCATTAGACTTGACAATCTTTCTATTAGACTTAACACACAACCGCTTAGACTTAACATTCTTCTCATTAGACTTAACATTCTTTTTATTAGACTTAACATTCAACCGAATTGACTTGACACTCTTTTATTAAACTTAACATTCTTCCCATTTAGGCTTAATATTCAACCGATTAGACTTAACATTCAACCATGTAGACTTAACATTCAACCCATTAGAAATAACATCCTATCTATTAGACTCAATATACAACTCATTAGACTTAACATACAACAACTTATATTTAATATTCAACTCATTAAACTTAACATACAATCCCTTATACTTAACATTCAACACATTAGACTTAATATTCAGCCTCTTATACTTAACATTCAACCAATTAGACTTAACATACAACCATTTAGAGTTAACATCCAATCCATTAGACTTAACATCATGCCTATTGAACTTAACATCCAACTGCATAAACATAACATATGAACGCGTATATTTAACATGATCACACATAACAAGTATATGTTTAAATTTTCATCATGTCATGATGTTCAAACAAAAATTGCAAATTTCTTTTTAAAAAAACTGATAATTACAGGTCTTGTGGAATTGTTGGGTGTTATGGGAAGTCTAATCCTCTGCTTTTTGAAAAGCTTTCTTATGAATTTCTTTATACCAATATGTAGGCTGTCTAAAAATCACAATAGATAGCTGATCCCCATCAAACACCGATGATGGAAGTTACAATCTGACGACTTCCAGAAGGCTACAATTTGAAGACTTTCACGTAGATCGCTGAAGGTTACAATCTGACGACCTTCACGACAACCGATGAGAGCTCTAGTTTAATAGCCTTCACCATCAACATCGAGAGTTACAATCTGACGACTCTTGCATATCAAAGAGCTAAAGTAAAGATTACAAAATGACGATCTTTGCAACGCTTCGACAGAAAGAGACTACAAATCAATGGTCTCTTCAAATCAAGACGTGGAAGTCCTCCCCGCGTACCAGCATCAAGATGCGCCGCGTTCATAGCCACGAACGCAGCTCAAATGCAGCTCCAAAAGTTGCAAACGCAGCTTAAATCGCCACTGGACGCAGCTCTAATCGCTGCCAGACGCAGCTCAACATCGCTGCCCAACGCAGCTCAACATCGCTGCCCGACGCAGCTCAACATCACTGCGCCTGCGTTTGACTCGAGCTGAACGGTTTCAAAACCGTTTCCCACGATCTGAGGGGATCACAACTCCACTCAGGAGTGATTTAAGGGGCGGTTACATCCCATTAGCCCCACTTAGGAGCGAATTAAGGAGGTGGTTACACCCCTTAATCCCCTATAAATAACAACAAACTCAACAGAGTTAAAGATCGGATTTTTGATAATCAGATCCGGGCTGGATCTTTCGGGTGCGGTCTGTTGGGACTACTTGGCAGCGAAAAGAGGATCCTTCATCCTTCGGTTGAAGCTTTGGAGATCGGCAACAAGATCTTCTTCATCCTTGGCTTATAACCGACTTTCGGTTAAATCAACTCTTTCATAGAGTTTTAAACTCGTTCAGAGTTCTTCACAACGTCAAATCGTGAGGAGAAGACCACGTTCCAGTGAAACAAGACGTCGGATCGTCAACGAGAAGCAAACTCGACGCGAGCATTCGAGGGAGGCATCTCATCGCTACCGTGAAGAACCCAGAATTAAACAAAGGAGAGAATCCCGATCATTCTCTTCTCTTTTATAATCAGGAAATCCAATTGTAACTGAGATTAAAGGAATACAAATCAATTTTTCTTTTATTTCTTTTACTGCAAATTTTTCCACAAACACAATAGTACAACTATGATCCACCATACATGACAAATCATCTTCGTCCTCAATAGGAAAATTAAAGTTGCCGTTTGTTTCATCTTTGTATGCCAACGATAAGAATCTATAGAAGTTTTAACCTCTATGGCACATCAAACTTCAGTTTCATATTGGTGGTTAAAGAGTTAATTATTGAGAAAGCTGCTTTCTCACTTAAGGAGACTATGCATATGATAGTCTTCTCACTTGAGGAGACCATGCAGATGATAGGACAAAAGAAGTGTTGATAGTTGAAGAGCAAAAAAATTACATAAAGAGTTATTGCTTATAATAGAGAAAAATAGAGGGAAAATTTCCTCCAATTCTACCACGAGATCACTGCGTCAGTGGGAAGGAGAAGACATTTTAGGGTTTATGAGGAAATACCATAGCTTTTCTTCTATACGGCTGATGTGGATGGGCCCAAATACACTAATTGAGTTTTTTTGGGTCTGGTCCACAATGGGTAAAGGTTGAAGGGGCTACTCACATGGGATTCTTCATATTGGGGTATTGACACAATTTTTCCAAGTTATATTTATGAAATGTTAAGTAAAGATTAAAATCATCATACACAAAGTACAAAAGAAAAATGTGATATATGAATAGTTTTTCAATGTCAAAAATTTTATTTCAACATGAATAATAGATAAAGGTCCAAAAATTTTGTTGTAGAACATATATTATGTTTAAGATTAAAAAATTACACTATAGCATGAACAATATTTATTTTTAAAAATTCAGTGCAACGCGAATGAGAAATCTATGGCTGAAAACAATATTTTAGCATAAATAGTAAATTTAATATTTTGTGTCATACAGTAGCATGAATAGTTTTAACATATAAGATTGTTTGCATAAAATGATCCCAAATATAGGGTGATTTCAAGTAAAAAAAACCACTAACTCATAAGTAGGTTTTTACTTATAAGGATCCAAAATGATATTTGGTAAAGTTTATTGATGTATTTACTTACTTATTTAACTTATAAGTTAGAAAAAATAAGTTGTGATGTGCCAACTTTTTTTTTTGATACTAAATAAGTAGATTTGCTTATTAATGTTAAGAAACTACTTCACCCTCTAATAAAATAAGTAAAATAATAAATAACTTATAAGGTTTCAAGAAATAAGTATTAGCCAAACATGTCCAATCTCAAAAGTCAAAATTAAAACGATAAAACATATAAATTATCCCAAAATAAAAATAAAAAGGACTTCCTAACGCGGCAAAGAATCTCAACTTGCTACAATAAATCATCTCAGGAAAAAAAACATACATAAAATGACTTTTTAGCAATGCACAGAAAATGAAAATGGTGAGTAAGTAGAAATTTGTTGGTGCGATGGTCTCCGAGAAAAGAGATATTTTTTTTCATGTTATTTTTAGATCTCTGATGTATCTTTTCGGCTTTGTTTATCGTATCTATTAATTAATTGTCTAATAATAATAATAATAATAATAATAATAATAATAATAATAATAATAAAGAAAATGAAAACAATAATAATAATAATAATAATAATAATAATAATAATAATAATAATAATAATAATAATAATAATAATAATAATAATAATAATAATAATAATAATAATAATAATAATAATAAAAATCTCGCAGTTTCGAATTTTTGATAGGGGGGGGGGGAAAGGGGGGGGGGGGGGGGGGGGGGGGGCGAAATCCCAGTTGGATATATAACTATATATATATATATATATATATATAGTATATTATCCTCGTTGTTAATCTCTGAAATTTCAGTCGATTTCTTCGTCGGCGAGATCGAGCAAGCGTCTCTGATTTTTTTTCGCCGGAGTCTTCATTATGCAGGTGTGTTGTTCCCGCCCTCTCTCCTTCAATTTTTTTTTTGTCGCTTTCAAGTCCCTCAAAATCGATTAAGGGTGCGACTTTGATTACTTTGCACGGCGACGAAGTTTTTAGGGTGTTTTTTTGGGTGCATTATTAGGTTAAAATTGAGGAACATAGGGCTTTGAAGGTTCGATCCCATTCTTTCAAGTTAATTTATTGGCTAGGTTTTAGAGATAGACTCTGAATTACCGTTGAAAACACACACTCACAGCCCAAATGTTTGCCATCATGAACGTGCACCGTCAGTGGCGGAAGCCAGGAGTTTGGGTCAGTGGTGTCCCAGATAATTTATTATGGTTATATTTAGAATCTATATTGACAATTTTATAATTTTGGCCCTTTTAGTGGTGTCCTATATAATAAATGCTGGAGAAAATAAATAAAAGTACGTATAAAGTAGTCAATTCAGTGGTGTCACAGGACACCACTGGATACCATATGGCTCCGCCAGCGTCCACCGTGATCAGCAATAGTAGTTGTGTGATGGTGGTCTTTTTTTTCCTGAGAGTTTTAAATGATGGTTTGTGGCTAACACTGTACCGGACAATCTTATGAGCGATATTGTCACCTTCTCATGCGAGTTTTAGCATCTGCCGAGGAACTTTGGGAGGAAAGAGTCTCGCTCAGAAAGGCATGGTTGGTAACTACGGGCATGTACAATATTTTACCATGTAGATAAAGAACTCTGAATCTTTAACATGAAACCTAGTGTTTTGACACTGTCGGCCTTTTTACGCACAAGCCAAAAATATAAACCAACCGAGCCTGCCTTATGCCAACACTTGTATTCAAGTGCAACGTTCACTTTCTATGCGGGACACTTATATCCAAGTGGAGCCTCTATGTCGAGGTGTTTATATATTTAGGTGCACAGGAAAGGGGAATTTTAACTGAAAATGCATGGTTCAACATTTGAGCCTTAGCATGCAACTGGTGATGTCTAGATGTTCGGTGATTCATGATAGCTGTTGTGACGTGCTTGCGTAACAGAAGAAGGTTATTTCTGAAGAACTACGCAACATACAGTTTACATGAGTAGTTTGAGCAATCATTTTGTTGGGAAAAAAGTTGGATTACGTATTTCAGAAGAAGAATAGTTTAATGTGTGTTTAACTCTGATTAGATGCATACTCTCCTTGTGTCATCTGTTTGTGCAAGGACTCTCTTCTTCTTTCTAACACACCCTGGACCATTAAATCTTCTTAAATGGAAGGTATTTTCATGCATCAACAGTGTAAACTTTCAGCATTTATTGGTGCGATGGCTGTCATTACTCTGTTGAAGTAACATTTGGTGCCCTTGCTATTATTTTGGTCAAAAGCTCACTTGGTATATCTGTTTGAAGATTAGTTAGTGTGTGTTCTATACTTCTCAATAGTTTGGCTATTTATTTTGTTTTCACATGTCTCTTACATAGAGCAACGAGAGGAGGATGCAAAGTCACACTGTGCAATCTCATGGATTTAAATTGGCGAAGACACATTTACATGATTGGGTCATCCTTTTCCTTCTTTTGGGGTTAATGATTGGCTTAGGTGTTATGGCTCCTTTTTACCGTTTTGTCGGAAAGGATATGATGTCTGATTTGAGATATCCACATAAAAGCTCCACAGTGCCATTCTGGGCAGTCCCTGTAAGTCTCTCTATGCTATTCCTATAGGTGCTATCATTAATATTCTCTATCTCTTGTTGATGATCTACTGATTAATGGTAAATATTTCTATGATGACTACTCCTTTGTTAATGGTTAGGTCATTGCAGTACTATTGCCTGTTGCAATTTTTGTTGCCTTCTACTTTCGTAGGAGGGATGTTTATGATTTGCATCATGCTATACTTGGTAATTCCAATTAAATCAACTTATTTATAGAATTGACTGTTCAGTGTAGAAATTTAATTGATGACATTTATTATCATATTATTCAGGTATTTTCTTCTCTGTACTGATAACTGGAGTTCTAACAAATGCAATTAAGGACGCAGTTGGTCGCCCAAGGCCTGATTTTTTCTGGCGCTGCTTTCCCGATGGGAAGGAGGTTTTGTTCTTTTGAACTTAAATTGAATTCCTTTTTTTTAATGTTATATGTGAATGGAAGAATTTACATTTCAGTTATATGATCGAGTAACGGGAAGAGTTATTTGTCATGGGGAGAAATCCCTCATGAATGCAGGGCACAAGAGCTTTCCAAGTGGTCATACTTCATGTAGGTTCTGCCATCTTTAACATCTGTCACTTAAGTATTATCCTGATATTTTTGCTAATCTTGGCCCCAAAATAGAAGCATATAGAAGTAGGCATGAAAATGAAAATTGTTTGATTTGCACTGATCTAGTATGGTTTTAAAACACATATTGCCTTCTTCCTTGTTCAATAGATGCAGGAAATGCACCATTTGTTGCTTGAGCTTTGATACGTATATTTGGCCATGGTTATTAGAATACTCTCTAAACTAAAAATACGGAAGTTCCAGTCTTCTTAACTTTTAATTAAAGGAATTATGTGCTTGTGGTCATGTCTTTTGATTCTTTTGAATTTTGATTTAGGGAGCTTAATGATCTTTAATACCAACCTCATAAACGTCCATATTGCATAGGATACTGTTCGAAATCTATCCCTTCTTGTTGCATCTGTTTGATACTTTCATATTTCACTATTAAAATGCCCACCAACTTTATGTAAATGTATGAATTAATTACAAATTGAAAAAATTCATGATTGTAACATGGAGATTGTCTGTGTATGTGTGTGTGCGTGCACGCATATGCGCATGTGTGCGCGCTAACTACAGAGGTCCAAACTTTCATTGTGCAAGTATATTTTTCTGAGGGTAAGTCTCTGAGGCGGTAAATTATCAAGAAACATCAAACAACATCCCAGCTATTTGGCATGGGCCCTATTTTTTTGGTGGTCGTTCCTACAAAATAAAAGGTTTGGTCTCGTATGAATATTACTTATATCTGATTTCATGATCATTTTCATATTCCTACCAAAAAAAGAGAAGGAGAAAAGTTGTTATGTGTAAATTATGTGAACATTATATAAGTGTTGTGCGTGGCGGAAACCAAAACCAAACCGATGTGCTTCGAGAAACCAAATCAAACAAACGAACGTCGAGAGAGAATGCCAAACAATGCAAAATAATACCACAAACACAAACAACCAATTTTAACGTGGTTCGACAAGTTACCTATGTTCACGGGGCAAGAAAAGGATGAGGTTTTCACTAATAGAGAAGAAGAGTACAAACTGAGATTACAAATCACTCAAACTAACCAACTATTTTCACTAATAGAGAAGAAGAGTACAAACTGAGATTACAAATCACTCAAACTAACCAACTAATCTCACCAACAAATCTCTAAAGTACAAACTGAGATTACAAATCACTCAAACTAACCAACTAATCTCACCAACAAATCTCTAATTCTCTTCAAATAAAATCCTAACCGATAGCTCAGAAAATACATCTTTTCTGTGCTCCAAATATCCCCAATTCAATTCCCAATCAAAGCCAAAAAAACCCTAAAACCTGTGTTGGTATTTATATCAAACACAAATCCTAAACAGAATAGAAAACCAAAATGACTCGAACTCGACTCGCGGTCGACTGTCGAACCCATCGCGATCGACCGTAGCAAACGACAAAACCCAAAAAACAATTACAGGGTCTCGCGGTCGACCGCCACGCTAATTACGCGGTCGATCGCCAAAAGTCCATAGACCAACCCTTGTGCTGTGCACGTTCGCGGTCGATCGCGGCGCCACTTGTGATCGACCTGTTCTTCTTCGAACCCTTCGCCAAATCTACAACTCTCCACCTCGGCGAAGTTTTCTCAAAACCGAGTCGACACCAACCAAACCAAACCAAATGTCTCACTTGTTACGTCCATTACGAAGTAAAACAAAATCACAACAACAGACTCAATCCATAACAAGTCAAGACTCAAATGAGAATGTGATCACTCTCCAAACGTCGGTATCTTTCCACCAAATCGGTTGCATCATAAAATGGCAGCCTACGTATTCTCTTGTCCAAGGAATTAAGCATTCACGTAGTTCACCAAATGGTCTTCAGAGGCCCTCAATCCAATAGAAGAGTTCTCAACTCTTTACCAACAAATATGCGGCTGATAGCTTTCCTAATGACCCCAAGTGAAACAAACCAAGCACCTCCACTTGAGGTGAACTAACGGTCATGTCTAAATCCAAATTATGTCCACCAGCTGCACTTGAATCAACCAACTCATCATCTACATTCAAAACCAAATAATCTTCACCCTGTGTCACCTCAGCTAGAATCCCAAACGATGCAGTATGATCTGGAGTATGTGGAGTAATCTCCACCCAACATAGAATAGCATCACCCTTCACCTATTGCGATATCCCAATAATCTGATCAACACTCTCTACCCGTCGAGAGTCAAAAATGACATACCTGCTCAGAACAAAATCAGAGTCTCCTAACTGATAACTAAACGAGCCTCTGAATTCCAAACGTGTAATCGGATCAAATCTCACATCCTCGATGTGATCAAATACTAGGCAACCAAATATCCGACGCAACCCAATGATGTCTCCTTAGAAGGTTCCCTGATGTGAAACAATGTATATGCAGGTGCAAGATCAGCGACAACAATGCTTCACCAAATCAGCAATCGATCTAAGCAAGAAATTCAAGAGTAAAATGAAGCGAACGATGGTAGCAAAAGTTACAATGTACTAAGTTTGAACCTTTATAAAATTATTTCGATAAATAATGTAATGATTCGTTCTCGTAATACAGTTCAATTTGTAATATTTAGATAAGCAGAAATACTTGGCAACAGAAATGTTCACTAATCAAACTGAATACAATATAATCGTAATTGATACTAAGATTGATAATAATATGCTCACAATAGAGGTTCCGAAAATACTAGGTCGATAGAAAACAAAACTTTCGCCAGGTTGAACTGGTTCGACGGGAGGTTCCTCTGGAAGCGGTTTGTACACGTCGAAAATGAGGGGGGGGGGGAAGTTCTCCTCCGAGAGCCACGTAATTAGGATGAAATGACACGTCTGGATTGAAACGCCTATGAAACGAACTAATACCTAACTGAGCTTCCACACTACTGACAATCTGATGAGTCACACGTTTGATGTATTCAGGCACAGTCTCGAATGTCTGATAGTCAAACTACGGGGAAAGCTATAAATCAACTATACTAGTCTCTGGATCAAGCACGAGATCGTAGTCTTCAGCGTCAGGATCAACCATTAGGGGTGCCAAACGGTTCGGATATATCCGAACCGATCCGCATCCGTATCCGAACGGATGCGGATATGGTAAGCTAATTTTAAAACCGGGCGGATACGGTTTCGGATACGGATCCGGTTTCGGATTTTTTTTCGGATACGAATTCGGATACGGATATGAGGGTTGCGGATACGGATATCCGCAATGTAATAATGGTTCGGATAATCGGGTCCCAAAATTACAATTACAAACCCGTAACCGCTAACCCAAAACCCAACTACAACTAAAAAGTAAAACCCTAGGCTTGTGAATCACCGCCTCCAGCCCTCGTAAAGCTCATAGTCGAAACCCTCGGGGGACTTTGATCGTCTTCGTGGGATCCCCATCTTGAACAATGATCAGATTGTACGGCTCGAAAAAGGGCCTCCACATCTCCAGGAGATCAAGGTTTCGGATCGTGGGTATCACGATATCAAGCTCATCCGTCAACTGCGGACCGCTCGAACTCGACCTCGAACTCGCCATCGTTGATTGTTGAGAGAGAGAGAGAGAGAGGAGAGATCTGTGATTGATTGCTGAAGAGGGAGTTTAGAGAGAGAAGAGGCCTGGAGCGTTTTCGGATGAGATTAATATAAGGAGTTATGTAGAGGAGACTGGCGCGTGTTGGTGGATGAGGAGGAGTTGGATTCGGATCGGGAGGAGCGTGTCCGGTCTTGAGTGGAGTAAGAAGGCACTGCTTGGAGGTCTACTACTTGGATGATGGGATTTGATATTATGATTGAAGTGGAGAGGATTTTGCTGAGGAAGGCACTTGAGGATCATGTGAACCAGCGGTTTGTATTGCTATCATAAAGGTAAAGTTTTGATTGCTATTAATTGGTGAATGAGTATCCATAAGACGTGCATAATTGAAGTGAAAAAAGTTGAGTAATGGATTTAGAGCGTTGGAAGGACAATTGCATGTTTACCTGGACTACATGATAGAGTCCTACTAACTCTGTGAAGGTTGATCTCTTATGTCCATGATGAGAGCCAAAAACTGAGTCCATGTTCTATGTCTTGATCCAAAATATTCAACCAATATCATCTATCTTGTCCTAGTCTTCTGATTTAGCTCAGATTAATGCTGGTTGGAGGAGCCATTTTGGCTTATTAGGTTATGAGTTAGATGTTTAATGACAACACTTAATCTATTATGAAGTAGTCTATTTAGATTTAGGTGGAATCACCTGGGTTTATTTTTTATTTTATTTTATTTGAGAAAGATCCTTTATCTTTTATATTACATTTTTGTAACTGTTTTCAGAATTGGTTGTTGTGTGTCTGCTGCCTGTTCTTAGAGGAGTCTTCTGTTTACAATCTATTCTAAGAAACTATTCTCAGAAAGTTTTATATTACATTTCTATAACTGCCTTTAGAAACTATCTATTACTATATAGAGTAATTCTAATTATATGTGAATTAAGGAGAAGCCTACAACTACATACATTTATCTATTTGGTTGTAATTTATGCATATGTGTACTAATTCATATCTGATTCATATCCATTTGTCGAATATCCGTTTATATCCGTGATCATATCCGATCCGATTCTCAAATATCCGAACCGTATCCGTTTTCGATAAGTGCGGATATGGTTAAGATTTTTTCTTACCGAAGATGATCCGTATCCGTATCCGTATCCGTATCCGTTTATAAAAAGCGGATATGGATATGGTAAGTAACATATCCGAACCGTATCCGCTCCGATAACACCCCTATCAACCATGCACCACCAGATCATAGAAAGTCAGATCCAACTCGACGATAATGATGGGAGGAGACAGAGCTGTCTCTGTAGGAGTACTATTTGTCGGGGAAGATGACAGGGGGAAGGTGTTGGGTTTGTGGGGCTGCACAATTGGGAGGAGAGCAGGAGGATGTTGAACGGATCTGGGAGGAGGGAGGAGAACTGATGGCGGGGCTC